TCCTTGAAAGATCCTGGAATGTGTCAGAATGACCTGGATTCCATTATGGCTTTGCTGTTTCGAAATGTGGTCCCTCCTGAAATTGGAATTTTCCATTAACCATAATTTAAGAGTTTTAAGATGCAGCTGATGTTTTCCTACATGGATAGAGAACTACGATTATTTCTGCTACTTTTATTGCTATTGTTATTTCTGTGGTTTTTGCTATTGTAATTAAATTCATCTTTGTGTTCACAGTTGTCCTGTGAGCATCATGTGTGGCTGTGGGGTCGTATTGGGGGCCATCCATAAATGACGTCACGTGATTTTGGACGATTTTTGACCCCCCCCCCTCGTCACACGGCGTCACAAAAAGTCAGACCCCCCCTCAAATATGACGTCACAAAGCTCTGCCCCCCCCCCCAAAACCATATTTACATTTTGAAAATAAAACTTTAAACTATTGTCATTGTAGTGCGTATTTATTGTGGCGCTGCACTCTGATGTTGTAGGAGAAAACATTTATTAAAAAGTCTATTTAAATAAGTAGAACATGTTGTCTATATTTATTTAAAGTTGTGCATTTTGATGTGACGTCACATTTATCTAACCCCCTCCCCCTCTCGTCACACATCGTCACAAATGTCTGACCCCCCCCCCCCCCAGGTGCGTGACGTCATTTATGGACGGCCCCTTAACACATATATCCAAATACAAAGATGCTCCTAAAGTAGTCATACAAATTGTGGGGGCAAGTGCTGTTACCTTTTAAGGCCAGTGCCGATATTTCCACATCACACCAGGTAATTATTTAAGGCTGAGTTGACCAATGGAATGCCCAAAACCAGTACAGATGATTACTTCAGTTCGAATGAAACCTAGGTCACCGGATTCTTAGCATAGTGTGCTAAACACTATGCCACTGCTCCACCCATCACATATAACCACATATGCACACATTGCTACAAATTTCCACACATTGCTATACATACACACAATGCTAAACATGAGGATACATGCACACATTGCAAACACATGACCAGACATGACCACACATGCATACCTTGATGCGCATGTATATAAAACTTATTTTGCACCAGACGTAACCAGCCGTGCTATTCGCACATGGTTATGATTGTATAATCATGTGCACATGCCAATGTCTTCATCAAGTGAAACCTAAGAACGTGGCATGCACACACTGCCCTGGCAAGGTTGGAATTGAACCCATGTGCTCTCAGTGTGGGGTGGCTCAAAGTTATGTATGTTGAACTTGTTTCGTCCCGTATGTAGCCAACCGTGCGAATCGGAGGTGCGGGGGAAGGACAACAAACTAAACACAAAAAGCAGTTTTAAAGAAATGAGTTTTCAATCTAGATTCAATAGTGCAAAAATCCAGTGGCTTCCTTATATTGGGAGAACGTTCCAGACAGCCACACGTGCGCATTTGATAATGCGCGATGCAGTGACCATTTTTATTCGATGGATAGCCAAAAGCCATTGCAACAATGACCGCAGTTTGAGTGGTTTATGCTCCTTGACGAGATCAGCAAGGTATTGTGGTTCATTTATGGCAACCGGAAGCCAATGCAGCTTGGCGAGCACTAAACGGACCTGGTCATATCCTGCAGTACCCGTCACAACACGTGCCAAACAATGTTGTACATGCTGTACCTTGGTAATGTTTTGCCAGATCTCCCGTCGAATAGTGAGTTACAATAAATCGAGATTTGTCGCAATACGTCACCGCGTTTCCACGAATCAATAGTGGTCGAATGTGTCGTAGAGCCCTGATATGAAATTGCAGGACTTGGTTATATTTTGCACGTGGTGATAAAACGACAAATTTGGTCGAGTATGGTGGCAGGGCTTTTTATATGAGTAGAAAAATGGATCTTGGAGTCTGCGACCACCATATACTGATCCTCCGACAAAATTAATTGGCTCTGAATGTAGCCTGAGGCAGGTGGGTCCTCAAGGGCAAGGAACCTGTATTGGAAATTTTAAAAAAGCTCGTTATAAATGTTTACAACTGGCAGATGGGGCCGAAACGAACACGTGTGCACCTGTCGTGACAGTAATCTCATGAAGATAAAATTCTGACTTACCGAAGGCCACGATTGTCCATTTGCGTTATTCGGACAATAGATCGTATTCTTTTTTAAGTGGTGGCTTAGGAGGCCTTCATACAGCAGTGGTCAGACCATGGCTGATAATATTATTTATTTGATGTATTCATATTGTCGGTAATATGGAAAAGCTGTCCTCGATTTTTGTGTCGGCATTGGATATCGCCCCCCCGCACCCCCACCGTGACAATGTTTTGAGGAGACAGGAATTGTGCAGGGAACCTATTCAAGGTAATGGGGAAGGTATCGGATCGGCTACCAACAACTACTGCATATATCGACCTCTCACATAGAAAGTAAGATCAATCCAAGCTTGCAGATCATAGTGAAAGCCAAATTATGGCAACTTGGCAATGATTGTGAGTCAATAGAAATGTGAAGGGCGAACATCATAGCGCCTCCAAAATGTTGAAGGGTTGAGCCTCAAACACGAGTTACATAAGCGGTCAGCTCACATGTTGATTGTGCTTGATGCAAGCCAATTATGTGACTGGAATAAACACCTTTGTTATGTGACCGATGAGATTGGAATACACTCGCAAACCCTTAACAGTGGTAAAACTGCAGCTTATGGTTGTCTTCGCTGTGACTTTAAACTTAACAATTTAACTTTACGTGATTATTTGTGTCACTTGTGTATATTATCATTTCCGGTCTTCCTTTAAAAAAAATGGGACTTCCTATTTCTATGGGTTCTTACTTGGTTCAAAATACGAGGCTGTGGTACATACTCTGTAAATAATAAAACAGTGACATACTGTACATCAATTGAACACTGCTGAGAGGGAGTGGAGCAAGACATGCTGTCCCTGAAGGCTAAGTCGTTTGCCCAGCCTTTGTTGGTGCATGAAAAAAAACGGACATCGCCACGACTCTACGCCAATTCCTGGAGCTATCTCTCTCTGTGTGCAGCGTGGTGGGCACGCGAAGCTGGAGCACAAGACAGTAATAGCTAGCTCCAAAGTTTAATACCCGACCACTGTGGTCTCAGTAAGTTAATGGCCGGAGTATTGTTGACATTCGAAGCATTTAGGCATAAATTGTGATTTTGCATTTCCCGGCATGTGTGCGCGCATATGATGTCAATGCCAGAACGACTTGTCGGCGGCATTGAGAAAGTATGACTTCATGGTCCTCCAGCCTTCAATCTCACAATACATTGTCACTGAGGGTGGGACAGCACAGACACCAGACATAAAAGTATGTAAATAATCCCGAGGCTATGCCCTACACTGGACTGCTTCTCATTGTCAGCACGCCTGATGTTTATATCTGGGTGGCTTCCAGTGTTGGTCTAAAATTTAGTTGCAGCAGTGTTTTAACTGGTGCAGAGTGCCACTAGAATAAGGCCTGTAAAGTTGTTTTTGTTTACAATTTATGAAGGGGTGGGGAAATTTTGGTAATTATTGTACTTTGTCAATGACAGGGATGGTATTAAGCCCTTCAGGATATAATCGGTTAGCAAAAAAAAAAGCTCCAGAAACAATGCATCGTCGCAGCTCAAACTTTTGTTTTGGAAACTCAGCAGTTTAAAAAAAATCCCATGTCGAGATGAAGAGATTTAGATGTTAGCAGGGGATAAAGATAAAAGTTATCAAAACGGGAATTCAACAATTGTGCCACAGGAGCGAGATACTAGTGAGGAAAGTGCTTTACTCAATCGGCAGGCAAGAGAGCGGAATGGAGCAGAGAGTGGTCACTGATAAGAGTTTCAGTTTAGTTTCAGTTTCATTTATTTGGTATAGCCCTGTGAGCCATTCGGCTCTTGAATCGGGTGCAACCGCAACAAACAAAAACATGAACAAGAAAACATCTTAAAGTGACTAGGCGCAAACAGAAAAATCCGGAAAAAACTGCAAAGTCTTCCAGAAAAAAAGCACCGTACACCAACGCTGTGCAAAAAAACCCCAGTGGGATGCAAGTCCAACAACAACCACGAGACAGCAAACAACAGAGCTGGCTTTGGAGCCACGATTGGGTGGGTCACCCACCGGCTGCTGTGGAAAATACCGTGAACTGCAGGGGCCACTGGGCGAGTCACAGCTGGAGTAAGAGAGAAGGGGACAGCACCGCTTTGCTGTGGGTCACCACCCCATTGCAGCTGGCCAACTGTTACCAATTCTGGGATTAAATATGCTTCAGGCACAAAAGGAATTGGAACACATTGGAACACGCCAATCGTCCGGCAAAGGCTAGTGTTCGTACAGAGTGCACGTGTAAAATAACGGCAAAGACAAGGGGCACACTCCACATTCATACGAGACCTCGCCTGGCACCCAGATAATTGTTTTAAGGTTTAAGTTGATATATTTAATTGTGAGTTTCTGCTTATTGTTAAGGCCTTTGAAGCGAACCTCGTTAATGGCTTGAAAGGCATCTGCATCTAATATATATTTTTTCTGGCGCTTTTGCTCCCACTTTTGCACTTGTTCGATTCGCGTGTTTATGTCCCTATTCCTCTTGCTGTTATGTTAGTGATTTCAGTGGTATTTTCAATTCGCGTGTCTCGTCTGAGACCGTCACACACCTCACTTGTTGGGCAATATCTGCAACAATGTGTTTTTGTTGTTGCCTTGCTCATGCACCACGCATTTCGCTTATAAATTGCCTAAATCGGGATCATTCCCGCGTAACAAATCAAATTCAAAACACGTGGTCGTTCCTCGTACCCACCGCGTGTCTCATTTTCGCACTCGCGTTTTGTCCCCCCCCACCGCACCGCCCCCCACCCCGCCCCGCCCACCGCCCCCCTCCCTCACCCCGCCACCCCCACCCCGAAATTTCCTCGCATGTGAGCTCGCCTCTGATTGGCTGCACGTGAGGAAGAGGCCGCCCGCGTGAGAGCTCGCTTCTGATTGGTCGCCCGCGCCCCCCTCCACCCCTCCCCCGGCCTATTCCCTACCAACATGGCGGACAGCGCCGAGTCGCGCGTGGAGGAGACGGCAGCGGGAGACGGGCAGCTCGAGCAGGCGGAACGTCTCAAGGCCAAGGCTAACGACTACTTCAACGGTACGAGCTGCGGCGAGACGCCGGCGATGAGCGGCGGCCCTCGGGGAGGCAGAGAGCGGTCGCGGCTCGCCGGGGCACGCGGTTGTTGCCGCCACGGCGCACGCCCTTGCCTCGGCTAGCCCAGGCCGCGTTTGCCCAGGGGTTTGTATTCCGTGGTCCGCATAGGCGCGACTGGTCGGCAACGCGGGGCTCCGATTGGTGGGCGTGCCGCGTGTGACGCACGCGGCGAGGTGCGCGATTGGCCCGTGCCAGGATCGACGCGCGTCTGATTGGCTTGTGACCGGCGGCCGTGTTAATGTGATGTAGGAAATGTAATCGTGTTACGCCGGTTAAGTTGGCCCCGCGAGTCTTACGTTGTGACTTTGGGAGGGTGGATTATGAGAGCGATATCGAAGTTAATTGCGATATTATACACGGATGATTTTCAATTTGCATTGACCACCCCCTGTCAGTAATGTGGGTTTGTTACGTTTAATAATATCCTCGCCCGCCTTGTGACGAGTCTACAAAGTTGACGGACTGTTGGTTTGAAACGACTCATTCAATTGAAGGCGACTCGATGTTCAAATCGCGTGTTACTGTTACCGTGGTCGTATGGGTTGGTTAAATAGTGGCCTAACGAGGGGTACGTGTAGTCACGTACGTGTTGGTTGTTACTCTGCTAAAAGAATAGCGTGGCGCTGTCGTGAAGGGCCGCCGACATGCGGCCCCATCTCCCCATGACTAAGCGGATGGCCGAGTTGAGGTTGTATCAAGGCCACTGTTGGCATCAATGTCAGCTCCGTTTAGCCGCCTATTTACCGATACGCTTCCATTTTTATTCAATACGAATCCAGGCCGAATCAGAATCTATGCGGGCTGAATCGGAATCAAAGGACATTCTCACACAAGCTTGACTTAAAACTTTCGTGACTGCAGGAATTCAGATTATTTGGGTCTTTCGGTAAAGTCACAAAATAATATTCTCACACAAGGCAACTCATGAGTCCCCTCCACTGCATTCATTCCTTCGGTGTACCCCCCCCCCCCCGTTCCTCACTAACCTTCCATACCCATCCTCTATCCCCTTCTATCACATGCCACCATTTCACTTTGAGCTAACCCCATTGTACAGTACCATTTATAATTCTTGTAAAGCGCCTTGGGTGTAAGAAGCTCTATAAGATAAGATTAACACCCCCCCCCTCCCCTTGGTGTCGTAACTGACTTGTGTCTGATTCTAGAACAGTCTACGCGTCGTAATGGAATAGCTATCAACTTATACGGTTTACCACATATTCTTGAACAGGTAAATTTAGTTTTCAGGTCCATACGGCTTACAGACGTTTGAATACGGGCATCAACAAAACGTGTATTGATTGTTGTTTCTCCCTTGTGATGGGACTTTGTCGGATAAACGTAGATATTTCTAAGGGCACGGGGTAACCAAAAAGGTACAAAACATGAGCACGTTTATGTTGTGTGTGTTCACAGCGCGAAAGCCTAATCTTTGACAGCATTAATGAGCAGCATAAGAAGGGAAATAACCGTGTGTTGAGTGTTTATACAGACTGGCGGCACATTACTAACTTATAGCCATTTCCTGTCTTGAATTTACTCCGAGTAGACAGCTGTGAAACTCATTTGCTTAGCAATATTATTAATGTTGTATGTTGGAACCGACTGCCTGTTATTGGCTTGATGCTCATCTCTCATAAATATCGCACTTTCCTATGGTTTGTGATTTCCATATAGGTTTATCTCCAGTTTTGGAATACATTATATTGATTAGTTAATAATTGTGTCAATATTTGGCGTGCACGATAAAAAAAAGTAAAAAAAAACAAGACCGCATCCGAGGTGATCATTACCTCGTTGTTTGCGCGCAGTCACTTTAAGATGTTTTCTTATTCTTGGTTCTTTTGTTTTATATATTTTTATTCTTATTTTATTGTTTCCCTTCTACGTGACTTTACCGAAAGAACCAATAATATGAATCCCTGCAGTCACGAAAGCTTTAAATCAAGATGTTTTCTTGTTCATTTTTTTGTTTGTTGCGGTTGCACCCGATTCAAGAGCCGAATGGCTCACAGGGCGATAGCAAATGAATGAAACTGAAACTTCAGTTTCATTCATTTAACAACAACCTCCATTCGCCACAAAGTGGCGTTGACGTCACCACGGCGATTGTGCCAGGCTACGTGCACGTTAAGGCCACGTGAAGGGTCGAACGCCCGCCGGTAAGGAGGTCACGGGGCTGACCCAGCAGGTGCCATGGGTCAACTGATTGAGATGAGTGGCCGATGCACCACCTGTGCCCCCTACTGTGCCAACTTGCTGTGTTTTAGCGACCCAGCGTTGCGCTCGTTGTTGTGAGCGTCGCTTCTCTGCCCTCCGTTATTGCTGGAGGGTGACCACCTCCAACTGCCCAGTAGCAGCGTCCTTCACGAGCCTCCTCCATAACATGTCAACGCACTTAGAAACAAACGTTTGGAATGCACTGATAAACACAAAACAAAGTGAACTATTGATGATTTCAGCCAAGTGAAATGATATTTGCAGAATTCTACTCATTTTCTGCTATGTTGTGCAAGGGCGGGATTTTACCTTTATGATATTAAACGAGTATTAATTCCCCCGTCTTCACGTTTTACTTATTACATTTGTTAACCTCAATGTTTAAACCGTGGTACAAGTCTCATGGTGCAGGATTGCCAATACATCTGTTAAGATAAGTAAATTAAGAAATCTTTAATATCCTTTCAGGTCCTACGGAGCCTTCTGGAAGATTTCCAAAGCCTAAATTGGTGTAGTGTAGCATTTCTTCGGGGGAGGGAGCCATGTTTCCACACCTTAACCCTTTCAGTGATGACAGCCCTCTGTGGTCACTGAGTAATTGCTGCTGCCGTGTGCTGCACGGAATGGCTGTAACCTCAAGAGATGTTTTTTTTATGGCTGTTTGATTTAAATGCAAGTAAAAGATGTTATTATTTTCTCTCCAAACTTTTTACTGCTTTATGACTGGCCTTTAAAACATATCTTGGTTAATGGGAGATTATTACCATATGTATGTGATCATGAATAAAACACCTGCTCAAGCAGTCTAGGCCAAACGTTTGTGTGTTTTAACACTATGCCAGGTCTGGTGACATGTTAAACCCCAGTTCCTCGGGAGAAGAGTGTGGATCACCAACTGGCTCTACAAATAGTTTCCTATGTTGGGATAACTTTTGTTATACAGTGCATGGAAATTGTGCATCCATGGGATAATCTAGCGATATATATATAAAACACTACAACCTTGTTATTCATTTCATTTAAGCTATGTTGTACCATATTTGTGGGTAATAAGATAAGGTGACATAACGGAATGAATTGCAGATAGGCTGCATCACAGATAACTGGAATTACAATAAAAGATTTGCGTAAAATAGTATGTATAGAGATATGACAATAATATCAAATAATTAGGTATATTAGAATATAGAATTATATAATATAACTATGTATACAGTATGACTACATATACATATTATTTATTATATCAATGTCATAAAATATATTATTTATAATTATATATGACATGACTACTCGAAATGTACCCGATCTCAAAAGATAAGCAAGCTCTAGCCTTGATAGTCCTTGAGTGGGTGTCCACCATAGATTATAATCTATGGTGGACACCCACTTAATGATTATGAACAAGTCACAGAGTTGTGTTGTTACTCTTCAGACTATAGAGGCAGTGCAACAAAATCTATTGTTCTGTATTTGTGTGCTTCCACATTTTGCCCACCTTCGCACAGCTACACTGACCAGCTTAGTAAAAGATGATCATATAACCTCCACAACCTACATTACATCGTTTGGCAGTAGATTGACAAAGGTACGCTATATATTGCAAAGAGATGCACTGTTTCAATGTATAATCTTGATACATGTTGGAGAGGCTATAATTGTTTTTATTCGGTATTGCAAAAGCAGGTTCTTGAAGCATGTCAGCCTTCTGTCTCGGAGATATGCGGGGCGGCATGTCTGTATAACGATTCTCCAAGTTGTGGGAACATTGTATGACAATTTCACACGGGGAGTCACTCCACGGGTGACTTAGAGATGTCACTACCCACCAGATTTGGGTGGCAATTGAAATTGTGAATGTGTGATTGGCGATTCATAGGGACAGGTTCCCATATTGAGTGCCTGTTTCCATTCATTGGCCCAAAGGGAATGCCCCCTTGGTTGAGCAAAGGAATATTTTTTTCCAGCAGCAGAAATTTTATTCAAAAAATAGTATTCAGCTGTGGGAATTGCAATGTCCTTTGTTTTTACTCTGCATTTTTAAGTTTATTTCACCCATTTGTATGGCATTACTAATATAAAGTGCCAAGAATGTGTGTGTGCCGCACGTGAAGTCACTCTACCCCGTCATTAATAATCATGAGTGGGTGGATTTTTACACTCGCGCAGAAGAAGGTCGAGTGGAAAGACAACATTTGTTACACAAATTCGCTTTAAATTAGTCATTTCTTTATTGAGAGTGAATCAAATAAATAATTCCACACAGCAACTAAGTGGACTTGGTATCTTTATTTTTTCAGCACTTGAAACAACAGCTAAGTCAAATTTATGCTTCTAAATTATGATAAAATAGACATTTCCCTGGTGATTTTCCAGATATTGTATCGAAATCAAATTTATTTCAACCCCAGCGAGCAAAAGCTGAAGAAAAAAAGTATCAGAGCAGTGAATTTGAACAAATTGAAGGTGAGATAAATACAGTGCTACAGTGACATGAAGTGAGGTATTTTATGATGTAGTTTTGTGCAAGAGTCACTGCCATTAATACAGTGCTACAGTGAAATGCAGTGAAGGGTTTGATGACGAACTTTTGTGCAAGATTCACTGCCATTAAATTAACTTTAATGGTTCTTTTTGGTCTTTTTTATTTGAAAACTGACTTCTGACAGTATCGGCAGTCCACTTCACTTTTCGCTATCAATCGTCCATCAGGGAAGAAAAAA